ATGTAATGTGGCTTCCGGCTCCCTCTCTGACCTTCTCTCCTGTTTTCTTCCTCCTCATTTCCTCCACTCCAGCTGCACTGACTTCCTTGCTGTTGTAGAACATGCCAAGTCCCCTGCCACCTCAGGGCCTTTGTACGTCCTAGGAGACTTTTCCCCTCGATATCCATTTGGCTTGTCCCTTTACCTCCTTTGGATCTCTGTTCAAAAGCTAGTTTATTGACGACCCTGTTTCCTGTCACCCTCGACCTTTTTTCTTTACAGGTAGGGGTGGGGCCATCTATTGCAAGAGAAATTAAAGGGCCCCCACCAGCCAGGAGGCCAGGTTCCTGGTCCTGACCTCGATCATGGCTAAGAAGCTGATGTGACTCCAAAAAGGCAAGGCCAGACATGGAGCAGCTGAGCAGGCCAGTGCTAGAGTAATTCACTAGTACTTACCCACCTCTGGTACATTACATAAGGAGTTCTGGTGATGCAGTAGGTTAAGCATTGGGCTAACTGAGGTCAATTCAAACACACCAACCACCCCAAGGATTGTCTGCTCCTAGGAAGATGTACAGTCTTGGAAAGCTTATGGGCAGTTCTACACTGTCCTGAAGGGTCGCATGAGTCATAATTGACTTGATGGCAGAGGGTGGGGGTGGTTTGGTAGATTATACATGTGTCATCACTTGGCCCAGTGTGGTGCTAAATACTTTACATAGAATATCTCATTTAGTAGTCCCTGGTGGCACTGTGGGCTAAGCATTGCTGTGTGGTTTGAATCCACCAGCTACTCTATGAAAGAAAGATGAGTCAGTCAGCTTCTGTAAAGATTTACAGCCTTTGAAACCCTGGAGAGCAGTTTTACTGCCTTGTAGGGTTATTGCGGAGTCCTGGTGTGGCATTGTATCTTAACGAGCTGGACTGCAAAGTTGGTTTGAATCACAAGGTTGGCGGATCAAGCTCACTAGTCGCTCCTAGGAGACCCTATGCAGAGTCGCTATGGGTTGGAACCAATTCGACGGCACTTAACAATAAACAATAATAGGATTACTGTGGACTCCTGGTGTGGTGCTATAGGGTCAGCACTGGACTGTGAACTACAAGGTCAGCAGTTTAAACCCACCAACTGCCTCTCGGAAACATTATACAGGATTGCTATGGGTCAGAACCAACTCAACGGCACTTAACAACAACAAACATAGTGTTACTATGAGTCAGCACCAACTCCAACTGGATGGGAGTGGGTTTGGTTTGTTGTTTTGTTGGCTTGAGTGGCACAAACTTGTGCTTGACTATGAGCTGAAAAACGGGCAGTTCGAACACACCCAGAGGCTCCTTGGGTGACAGGCCTAGTGAATCACTTTCAAAAAGTCACAGCTTTGGAAACCCCATGGAGCTGATCTACTCTGAACACACAGGGTAGCCATGAGTCAGAACTAATTCAACAGCAACCAATAACATCTCATTTAATTCTCACAACAACCCTGGGGGCAGAGAGGGGGTTTACAATTATTTTCTTCATTTTGCAGATGAGGAAACAGGAGCCCAGAGAGGTCAAGTAACTTTGCCAAGTACACACAGCTAAGAACGAATAGGGTCTGCTCCTTAGCACCTAAGGAGCAGAGCTAGGATTTGGACCAGTAACATCTAGTAGCAAAGAAATTTTTCTATCATCTCTATGTTAACATCCACTGGGGTATAAAGAGGGGGCCATGGTGGCACAGTGGGCTGCTAACCAAAAGGTTGGCAGTTCAAACTCACCAGCCACTCCAAGGGAGAAAGATGAAGCTGTCTGTTTCTGTAAAGAGTTACAACCTTGGAAACCATAGGAAGCAGCTCTGCTCTGTCCCACAGGGCCACTGTGAGTGAGAGGTGACTCACTGGCAGTGCGGACGAGGCATAGAGAGCCTACAGAGATTGGCCTGGTATTCAGAAGTACTGGGGAGCCTGGGAGACACACAGGTAATTAATGATTGGCCGTCACATTCCTCTGCAGCACAAAGTTAGCTTTCAAAGCTCTTTTACATTCCTCACCTCCCTTACTCCTTTCAATTCCTTTCTCCACCCATAGAATAGGATCTGCTTCTTAGTGCCCAGGGAGCCAGTGGCAGAGCTGCAGTAGGGCACTGGGAGGGTAGTGGTGGTTTGGGAGAGATAATTCCAAATCCTCTAGGGGTGTGAAGAGAACCTGGGCCCTTTACTATGTGTCAGGCTCTCATAAATCCTTGTAAAGTCATTGTGAGATGCAAATTATTATCATCCCCATTTCATAGATAAGCAAACTCAGGCTCAGGGGCTGATAAGGTAGGTGCTATGGTGCCTCACCTCTTTCTGTGAATTTCAGGCAACATGTCCAAGAAGATGGGCCTGCCTTGGTCAGTGGGGCCTGGGGCTTGCGGTTAGCTGATCAAGGAGGAGGTTGCCCAGAGGATCAAGCTAAGCCCTTCCTCTCTGTTGGCCTTTATGCAACAGTGTATGTATGCTGTTTTCCCAAAGTCTTGCATGTGTGTCTTGTCCCTGCATCTAAGTGCTTTGCCCTCCTTAGACAAGAACCTAGCTGGAGGGTCCTGAGCTGGTGAAGCCTGGGGATAGGACCCATCAACTCTCTGAAACTCGGGTCTGTCCACACCCTGCATGAACAAATGCCACACAAAGTCCCTGAAGAGGAGCACCAGGCAGGTCCAGTTTGCAGCTTTCATGGAGGACAAAGAGCCAAGATCACAGAACCCAGGCCATCTTCCCAAACTAGAGTCTAGTAGCCCTGTGTGGTGACCCATCCCTAACACACCCCATCCACAGGAAGTCTTTTCTGGCCTCTAGCTCTGGCCTTCCAGATCCTCTTCTGCCTTTGCCAGCCCTGCCCCTTGCTCATCACCCCACATCCAGACCCTGCCTGGGGGGTAGTGGAGCTCTGAGGCCTGCCCCCTTCTCCCAGCTGGGTGCCATTGGCAGCGGGAGGGCGGGTGGCATACGGGGTAGACTCTGGTTGCCATAGCAACCTGCCAAAGTCTAGGGTGGAGACACATGGCCTACAGGGTGTGTAGGGGGAGGGGACTCATCTTTCTGTGTCCTGGCTCGGGCCCCTGGCCTGGCACAGTCTGTAAATAGGAAGCTCTCTTGTGAGGGGCGTGTGTGTGTGTGTGTGTGTGTGTGTGTGTGTGTGTGTGTGTGTGAGTGTGCACGCTGAGGAGGGAGGGAGCATCTAAGAGATCTACAAATAAATCCTGTGACTTCTGCTCACCTTGTCTCATCCCTATCGGGCTGATAACATCACAACCTCAGTTTAAGGTATCATCTCTGGAAGGTCCCTGTCAAAATGCAACTAGATTGCCTATTAGCCTACCTGCTAAAGCCCCTGACTAGCAGTCAGGGACCTGGGTTCTAGACCTAGCTGTATGATCTAGGACAAACTCCTCTCCATTTCTGGACCTCAGTTTCTTTGACAGTCAGTAGGCAGTCTGTCTTTGGTTAGCTGTGGGGTGCCTTCATGCCCTGGAGGCTACACTGGGGCAGGAAAAGCAGGTGCCTGGAAGGTGCTTAGTTGGGAGTAGCTGTACTAAAGTTGACTCCCAGGCTTAGTCTCAACCCTGGCTCTTCTGGGTGGGCTGCTGTGGTATAGGTTCCAAGCCCCCACCTAGGACTGAGACTCTGGACAGCTCCCAGGGCCCTGGGAAGACCCTGGGGCATCTGAAATCAGGTTTGTGTTTGGGGGAGCTGTGCAGGTGGAGGGTGTTTTGTCCTTTGGACTTGTGAAATTGGAGGAGGAGGGGTTGTTCAGAGGCATTTGGCCTTTTACCTCCAAACTGTACCGCTCAAAGGTGCTCAGCCCAGACCAAGGCTAGCTCAGGCCCCACAGAAGCCACAGCATCCCTACCTCCTGAGATGGGACTCCCTGGCAGGCTCCTGGAGGCTGGCCCTTGGCAGAGTGCTGCTCTGCCCATCCTCAGTTCCTGCCTTGGCATCTCCACCATCCCCTCTACTCTGAACTCTGAACACAACTCCTCTCCAACACCCTTGCTCCTCTGCACTAAGGTCAGGCTGGTAGACCTTTTCCCAACCCACCGTCAGCCGTTTCCTCAGCCTTCCTGGAACCCCTATCCACCCTGCACAGCTGGCTGGGGAGAGCTTGGGCCCATAACTCCAGCTCAATCACTTTCCCTGCCATCTCTGCAGGGGCCCTGGTTACAAGGAGTTGAAATTTGCCTAAAGCCCACCTGGCTGGCTTGTAATGGCACCCAGCGGGCAAATTCAGGCCAGCGGCTCAGAACGCTGGTCATGCATTTTGGGCTCGAACACAGCCCTGGGGGCAGGGCCGAGGACATGTGTACCTCATTACCCCAGCAAAGTAGGAAGCAGTAATTAAACCAGGCTCTACTTAGAGACAGAGAGGGACACATACACTCCTAGCAAGTCTCATGACTTTTTAGCCTTAGCAAAAACATCCAGAACTAGAGAATGGGGACACAGCTCCTTCAGGAAGATTCCTGTCCTGGCCAATGTACACACTCCACCCTAGGGCAGGGACACATAACTGGCTTTAGCTTTTCCGGGATGCACGATTCTGAGTTCCTACTTGCTCTCTGGGAAAATGCTCTTGAGTTGGGCTTTGAGCAGAAAGGACTGACTTCATAGAACCATCTACCTTCCCTCAGGCCCCTTGTGACCAGATTAGAGTCAGGGAGTCAAGAGTCTAGGTTCCAGAAGAGAGTTCCCCACCAAGAGACTTTGGTGGATTCAGTCCTTGACTGCCCATCTCAGCAAACGTAGGCACTAAACCATAGAATCATTGACCCATTGACATGGTCCCCAAGCAATCTCTGCAACACCAGGTTCTTGCAGTCCTGGGCTACAGCGAGAGATTCAGCAAAGCAGATTTGAGGGAAAGGGGACCAAGAAGAAGAGCGGCACCCTGCTGAGTGGCACATATGCACACAGCCTTGGGTACACACACACATGCTAACACACACAGTAAGTAGTCTAGGCCTGGTCTTCTTATCCCATGTTCTCCCCTCACTCACCTCTCTCAGCTCCTTGGCCACCTCCTTGAGTTCCTGAAGGATGCCCTCGAGCTGCCCGATGACCATCTTCATGCGCTGTCGAATCCGCTCCCGCTCGCTGCCACTGCTGGGGTCGTCACTGGGCTGCCTGAGGTCCGGGGCGCCCCGAATGTTCATCCTTCACCACGTGGCTGTGGGCCTGCCCATACTCCCCCCAGCCGGGCACACACTGTATCTGCCTCCACGGAGCCCCCCTCAGCTGGGCAGAGCTCCACATCTTAACGGCCCCCCAGCCCACCCTGGCCTTGGGCGGCCCTCACCCAGCCCCTACCCCCTGCCACCCCGCCTCCGCCTCCTCTGCCTCTGGGTGGGGAATGGGACACCCAGAGGAGGACAGAGTCTGGCAAAAAGGGGCAAAGGGAGGATGCAGGGGGGCAGGAGGAGGGGCTTGGGTCTCAGGAGTGACTTCTAGGACTTTATCTCTGGCTCAGTCTGGACACAGAGGCAGGGGGATGACTCTGCAGGGACTAAGGGTAAGAGATGCCCTTGGGATGTGGGGAGGCAGCAGTAACCCCCTCTCAACTCCTAGGCAGGTGGGAAGACAAAGATCTTGGGGTGCAACCGACACCTGCAGGGTGGTCTTCGAGACGTAGTGGGAGCTCCAGATGTGGGCAGCTCTGGGGAGGGAGCTGGATTGGAGGAGGGCAGCCCCCTGCAGAGAGAGCGGAGCCTGGCGTCAGCCCTCCCAGGCTGCCGCACCAGTCGGCATTTGCCGCTGCTTCCTTCCTCTTTATTTATCATTATTATTTCTGTGTATGTGGAGAGGGGTGGTGGAGGCAGATGGTCTACAATTCGTCTCTTCCTCTAGTGGGGAAGGAGGGAGCCCCTTGCTTCCAATGCACAAGTCCTCAGCCTGCGTCGGGGCGTGCTAGCCGCGGCCCCCTCCCCCTGCCTGGCCTGGCCCCACGGATTCCCAGAGCGCCACTCCGATCCTCTGTCCTCCCTCCTAGTGCCCCCAGGGTGCCCTCGTTCCCAGCAGACCCTCCCGGCCCCAATCCCACCTTCCTTCGGAACCTCTGCTTCCCGGACTCACCGAGGGTGGGGGCACGGCCTTCCCTCCAAGCAGCGTCGGGGGCCAAGCCCCAAGACCAGGCTGGGGGGCCCCCAAGGCCCCCTAAGGCGGGCTTCTCTCTCTGGACCCTTTGGCCACTGGCCTCAGGGAGGTCCTCGGAGCAGCCACCGGAGACATCTGGGCGGTGGGAGGGGGCGGGGCCTCCGCGCTCCAGGGAAGGGGGCTAGCAGAGTCCCCCCCAGCCCGCCAGTCTCAGGACGGGGAATGAGCGAGGGTCCGGAGGACTTAGGACTCCGAGGCCACAGGTGACCCAGGCGCACGGCGACAGAGGTGACACCGGCTGGTCCCAGAGCGTGAACCAAAGTCGAGGGGATCGGAGGGCGCCCGGATCCCCTCAGCCCACGCCCGGTATTCCCTAGGCTCAGCACAGTCCGGGGTTCACTCTGTCCAGTCCAGATCGCCGGGTCCGGGCTCCGCCGGCTCTGCCCTGCCCTTCCCTGCCCTGCCGGGAGTGAGCCGGCCCCGCCGGGCGCCCAGGACACGCTCGGCTCGGACCTGGAATGCCTGAGCTCCGTAACCTGCGGCGTCCTGAGCCGTCCGAGGGGTCTGCTCTGCCCAGCCCGGGGGTCCGCCCGCGGCTGGAACGCGCCCAGCGCTCAGTCCACCTTCGGGAAGGTCCGGAATCTGCCAGGCCCCCGGGGAGGGGCGCTCTCGGCCGCTGGGAACCCCGTCCCCGCCGGGCCCGGCTGAGAGTGAGCGAGGCAGGGGCCGGGGCGGGCTGGGTTCGGCGCCTGGCAGGGGCGAGGGGGCGAGAGGAGGCGAAGGGAGCGGAGGGGCGGGAGGGGCGCGCGGCGGGTCGGATGAGCCGGGGCCCTCGGGGCTCGCAGCCTGCGCTCCGCCGCCTCCCGCTCGCTAGCTTGCTCGCTCTCGGCCCACGGCCTCGGCACCTCCCGGACGCCTGGTCGCTGCCGGTGGGGCAGAAAGGCGCCGGGTCGGGCTGGGCCTCCCTCTGCTACCACGCCTGGCCCTGCCCTGCTGGGCTCTGCGGCCCCGGGCCCGCTCCCCGAGCGCCCCCAGCCCGCCTGCCACCCCTCGCCAGACTGGCCGCCCGGGCGGGCGCTGGCTCCCTCCAAGGCCGCCCGGTTCGCTAGGCTCCGCTCGCCTCGGCGCTGTCAGGGAAGGGGCCGGCCCGGCGCTCCGGGAGGGAGCTTTTAAAGCGACACACACGCCTCCCAGCGCTGAGCGCGGGCCGCTCCAGCCGAGGGTCTCGCCACCAGAAGGCAGAGGAGGGTCTTGCGCTTACCGGGCTGTAGGTGGCCTAGGCCGGCCGGACTCCAGCTGATCTCGGACGTGGAGGGACAGAGGACTGGGGACTTACTCAGTTCCTTTCCTACCGTTCCAGACACCCCCACTATCCCTTCCCCCACTGCGGTGTACCCCAAGCTTCCTTTTGACTAAGTTCCCCACATCCAGACCCTCCCTTGGCCTCTATCATGCCTCAAAGCACTCTAGACTTTATCTTAATCAGATTAATTCAGAAAAGAGATTACAACCAACCATTACTGGGGACCTACAATGTGTCAAACTCTGGGCATGTATGTGTTGTTAAGTGCCATCGAGTTGGTTCTGACCCATAGCGACCTTGTATAGGGTTTCCGAGAAGCAGCTTGTGAGCTTGAACAGCCAACCTTGCAGTTCAAACTGCTTTGCAGTCTGGCGCATTAATCCATAGCCCCACACATGTTGTTGTTGTTATGTGCCGTGGAGTCCCTTCGGACTCATAGCGACCCTACACAGGGTTTCTGAGGCTGTAAATCTTTACAGGAGCAGAAAGCCTCATCTTTCTTCCGCAGAACAGCTGATAGTTTTGAACTGCGGACGGTGAGATTAGCAGCCCGATTGGTAACCACTACCCTAACAGAGCTACCACAGGCCCACACATAGACACAGAGAATTTAATTCCGTTATTTGTCCATTTACTCAACATTTATTAAGCACCTTTTGTGTACCAGGCCCCAAGTTAGGTTCTGGGGACACAGGAAGGAGAAGTAGCATTTCCAGAAGCTCAAGGTTCATTGGGGGAGACTTCTGAGTAAACTGTGGAGTGGTAAATGCATGACAAAGGCAAATTCTAGAACCAATGGTATATTCATGGAGGTACCCCTGAGCTGAATGTCAAAAGAGAATTAGGAATTACCCAGGTGACTGCCAATGTGGGGGAAGTGAGGCTAGGAGGAGGATGGGAGAAAAGACTCAGAAGCAGAAATTGGGGAATGGATGTGGGGATGAAGGAGGTTGAGTCAAGTGGCCTTTGAGAGATACCATTGTGATTCGTTGTTGTTAGGTGTCATTGAATCATAGCTTGTGGAAAGTGAGCTGGAAGAACACCAGACCATGGAGAAACTAGAGATCATGGTTAGGGACTCTATGAAGTTGGGAAGGAGCCTAGTCCTGTTTGTTTTCTGGCACAATATAGATGGTAGATTTGAGGACTAGGCCAGAGGAGAAGAAACCACTTAGGAAGCTGTTACAAGAATGAAGTTGAGAGAGGGAGGCCTGAGGAGCAGTAGGGATGGAGAGAAATAAATTAGAAGAACATGGCAGGATTTATTCAATCCTGGCAGGCACTGATTAACTTTGAGAGGTAAGGTGAGTACAGGATGAAGAAGGCTTATAAATTGAAAGTCCAGTAGACAGTTGTACCTCTAGTTGAGTTAGAGAATAGAGGGGAAGAAAATGGTGGGCAGTTTAGATTAAAGAGTTCAATTTGGAACAGATAACAATGTTCAGAAGACAGTCGAATATGTGTGTTAGTGCTCCTGCAAGAGGCCTGGTTTGAGGGTAATTTCTTTTGAATCTTATTAAAGAGAAAGAGAATCATCAGGACAAACACGTGGGCTAGTAATAAAGCAGTTTGTCCAGACTGGAACCTTGGAAAAGAGTCCATGGTGAAGGGAGGGTCAGAGGTTTGAAGAACCAGGAGAGTGGAGAGTTTGTGGGTCAGGAAGAAGAGAGTTTGGAGAAAGCAACAGTGTCAAAGGCTAAAGAGAAGGCCTGTGAATGAAGGGATGCCACTAGTGGTCTTGAACTTAGGAGGCCACAGGGCGACATGGCAGGGGAGTTTGTTTGAGGGGAGAAGGTAACAGAAGCTAAACTGTGGGCATTGAGGACTGAACTAGAGGTGACGAGTAGGAGTTAGCAAGTATAGATAACACTGTCACAATGTTCAAGATGACAGGGAAATAGAGATCTTGAACTAGAAGTGGATGGGGGAGGATCAAGGTAGGGAGGTGGGGCTAGGATGATGGTTTGGGGCTGGCCCATGGAGGATTGAATTCCAGGGCAGTAATGGTAGCATAGTGGTTCTGAGTTGGGCTGCCAACCTCAAGGCCAGCAGTTCGAAACTACCAGCTGTTCCTCTGGAGAAAGATGAGGCTTTCTGCTCCCATAAAGATATACAGCCTTGGGAACTAACTCCACAGCACAGAATCAATTCAATCAATGGTATTATGGATACTAATGGCTTCCCTTGTTCTCCAAATTCTGTTTATAAGGATCTTTTGGAGACACTAGGGCTTCCAGAAGCTGTGAGGATTGGATCTCAGCCCCCTGGGGAGAGGGGAAGTGATGTTCTGGGCAGATGGATCTGGAGAACTCATCAGTCACTTCTGCGGAAGCTATGATGTTCAGGGACACCCAGGAACAAAGATGGAGCCAGTCTGCAAAAATAAATGAGTCTCTGGTTGTAGGTCCATGGAACCATCTGCCATGTCCAGGAACAGGAAGAAGTGTTTGAGACAATGAACTTGATTTAAGAGGGTGGAGAATGGCTATTTGACCTAACTGATGTTGGATTTCATTCACAGAAGTATAGTGTATAGAAAAAGGGAAGTGACATTTCTTCTTTTTTCTGTGTGGATCAAACCATGCCTTGTTTTTGTTGTTAAGTGCCGTTGAGTTGGTCCCAACAATACCGTGTAGAGTTTCCGAGGAATAGATGGTGGGTTTTAGCCAACTTTGTCGTTTGAAGTCCAGTGCTGATCCTGTAGCGCCACACCAGGAGTCCAACCCTGTCTGACACTTCAATTTAAGAGCAATAATGGCACATTAGAGAGCCCTGGTGGTGTAGTGGGTTAAGCATTGGGTTGCTAACCACAAGATCGTTGGTTCAAACCCACCAGCTGCTCCATGGGAGAAAGATGAATCTTTCTGCTCCTGTAAAGATTTACAGCCTCACAGGCTCTAAGGAACAGGTCTCCTCTGTCCTATTGGGTTACTGTGAGTTGAAACTGACTCTGGGGCAATGAGTTTTGACACATTGGTGTTTCTAGAGGAGGGCAGCCAGGGTGGAGGACAGGGGGGGGAGGGGGGGAGGGGGGTTGGTGTGTCTCCCCTGTGAAGAAGGGT